TTGCTTGAAAGCATCAATGACAACTTCAAAAAGCTCATAGAAATAAGATCCTATCGAACCGTATAAGTTGTACTTTACATAAGCTTGGAGTTTGATGCTTAATCACAATAATAAAATCGAGTAACATTTAAAAACAATAGAGTCGCTATAGTGTTTCGGTCTGATCTACACTACAAAAGTTAATAAATACAATATCGAACATGATTTTGTTTTGCACATAATTATCTTATAAAGTTAACTTATAAGACGTAGCTTGATCCGAAATCATAGGCAATCGTCTTAGCGAAATTGAAAAATTACTAATGATATAAAATTTATAAAGACTTCACATGAATTTGCAGAAAAAAATAACTCCATTTGAAAAATTGCTCGAAAAAATATATTTAGCACTGTATATAACACATACTTTTCAAAAGTATATCAATGTTCATGCACTAATCGAAGAAAACTTGATCCATTAATTGAAATGATATATCTTGATGAAGTAACTTCTTATCATTCATTAAAATATTGAATAAATCTATAGTTAAAAGAAATAAGTCAGAATTATGAATAATTTGTTAAAAAAATTTTATTAGCCATGCATTAGTTATAAAAGAAAAGATAGAAACAACATGTCGCTTCTTATAGAATTATGCATTTCGACTACTAAAGAAATAGAATTTTGTTTTGACTTACTTTAGATTTATTGTGGTGATCAACAAACTAATCATGAGAAAACAAGATAGATGGCAGCATATTATAATGATAAGCTATTACAACTAAATGTTTCACAGTATGTCACAAAGGATTAAAACGAGGAAAAATACAATCTTTTAAAATGTAAGTTTTGCATAAATCAACTCAGGCACAATCAAATTAAACTTAAATAAACTGAATCGTTTTGACCATTTTCAAGAAAATGTCAAAATATTAATTCAACGAAAGTTAGTGAATAAAATGAGATGATAATTAACAAGGTGAAAAAAAAAATCAGTAAGGACTTAATTTTTTTTAGTAAGGTTTCAAATTGAAAAATAAAACTCACCTCCGACCATGTATACACGTATAAATCCGTTCTAATAAAGCAATTCTCTCAAGACTAAGCAAAAAGTTCGCATTTATTATACTAGTGATTACAAATATATTTAATCTTCGTAAAATGTGATCGTTTTGAAAAAAAAAACATTTTTCCGAAAGTGTTCTGAGAAACTTTCACTCTGGAATATGAAGGTAAGATCAGTGAGAATATCGTGTACAAATAGATGATTAATGAACCTGACAATCAAAAATCTCATATATACGATAGATTTCGAAAGGCAAATATGTTTTTCTTCAGATTTTCGTTCTCCGTTCTGTCTCTAACAGTACAAAACATGTCTTATTATTCGAACTAATAGAATCCTTTTTTTTTTTTGAGAACAGTTAAAGGATATGAATGCTTGAAAATGTCTATTGAAACGACTCTCAACAGCTTTAAACAATAGTGAAAAAAAATAATGTTAATGAAAAGAAATTAAAACTAGAATACAGTATTAAATTTTAAGTAGATTGCTAGAATGGATTATATTAAATATATTAATAACTCATGATTTGCTAAAAATATATACAATGAATATCTAAAATAAATTGATTCTACGTGTTGTCGTTCGATTTCATTCAATTATTGATTAAATAAAGTATAATAGCGAACGAATCTACATCATCTTGAACATAACGAAGAAATGATTCTTGGACCGATGAAACAAAGCAAAGAGTGATCGAGAACATATTGATTGAATAATATTTTATATTAGATCGAAGTTCATCCATGAATTGTTCGACTTCGAATAAGAAAAATCAAAATTTTACCTTCACCTTTCATCGACAGAGAAAAATTAATTAGATGTCGACCTTTCATTTCAATGTTTAATGAAATTCAGACGGTTATAGAAAATCGAGAAATTCAGTTTTCAAAAAGTAAAATTTTTATTTTGGTTTATCCGTTCGGGTGCTGAAATCAACAATTCTGAGTGTGTGAGTGTGGGGTGTGAATGCGAGTGTGGAACTATATGAGCGAGCTTTCACATCCATATTCCACACCGCCACCCACACCCAAAAAATACCGATCTTTAAAATAATAAAAAATGAGCGTATTCCAATCTTGATCAACTTAAGAGAAACTCCTTTCCCTTGAGTCTTATCCATCACAAGATCTAGAACGAAGTTATGATGGATGATACCTAGTCTTGGCCTGATATTCAGAACTTAGAACGATTTCTTACTAATTTTTGCTTTGCTTCTCACCAGATCCATGATTAATTCTGAATATTTTTACATGAAACTAAAGCCCAGTGTTGGGTCTTTCGTTATCAAAAAGATAAATTTATTTACTCGAATATTGGTGTCTTTCGTGTTTTGAACACTAATACAATAGTTATCGAAGTGGGATTCCTTTCTGGTATAGTATTTGATTCTGGTACTTGCAAGCAATAATGCCGAACTATGAAGGAAGCTCGTCTGAAAGTTTCAAATCGATTCATTGAACTGTTATTGAGTTGTGCATCTTCAAAAGATAATAGATGTTTCTTTGAACAGTGATTGACACAGTAAAATGGTCAAAGTTTTTGCACCGATTAACGAACATCTACAAAATTTCTATGACAATGACCTGAAACATAGCGCTATTTAATGATAGGATCTCTCCATCGACAGCGTCCTTCTCTTCTAGGGTTATGATGCCGAAAAAAAATAGATATCGACGATCATAGCTCAGTTTCCAAAGCAGCAGTCGAAGTGCAGCAAGACGAAAAAGCTTTTGTCCAATTGTTTTATTGAAGAATACGCTTACGACGTTATTGATACACGCAAGCATTTTTACATGTCGATATTGACATATAAGAAACTTATTGGGTCCTAATTTCAATGCCTTCAAACTTTGATTATATCCTTAATTATTTATCAACAACTTGAATACTAATGTCCATTTCAGAGTTAAATGGCCGTGGGTATTTTTTGAATAAGTTTTGATAGGAACGAGATAGAGGTCTATGGTTTTCACCCTTGGAAAGAGCAGATGAAGACACATCGAATTATATATAGAAAGATTTTTCTAGCTACTTTCCTATAGGTTTTACATAAAGCTTCAAGAAAAACATCATGCTACTCATGGTCATGATATTAGTTTATTGATTTTCAGGAGTGCGCTAGAATCGCGAAAGAAAGGGCTACAAAATTATATGAAAACTCTGTTCCTGACTACTACCAGTATGATATCAAAACCATCGGAACATAATTTACCATCTCATTTTTTTTTCAACAAAATAATCGAACAATGTAAATTTTTGTAGTATTTTGATAGAAAAGCCATTTTTTAACGTAGGAGAGAAAAGCAATTCTTTGAAAACTTTTGACTAAACCTTTAGGAAAGTAGTTAGAAAAATCTTTCTATACATAATTCGATGTGTTTCCATTTGCTCTTTCCAAAGATGAAAATCGCATGTCTCTATCTCGTTCCTATCAAGAGTTGTTCAAAAAATGCCCACGGCCATTTAACTCTGAAGTGGACATTAATTCGTAGAATCTCATAATAAAGTTATATAGATTCATCAGTAAAATAGTTATTATAGTTGAATTTTAGATTCACTTTGATTGTCCATTACGTTAACAATTCTATAACAATATATATACTTCATTTCATTTCAAACAATACTTGAAAACTAGGGGTGTGAGTGTGAGTGTAATTAACTAGAAGATGAACATCGAAGTCCACACCCACACACGATTCGTGTCCGAGTCATGATTCGGACTTGCCCAGCCCTTTTAATTAAAGATCCGTCCTACTTGTTACTTTTTGATGAACCTACTATTATTTGCAAAGTGTCGTATCTGTTGCGCAATGTACATAAGATCTTCTTGCATGATGCAAAAAAAAAGTTTCTGCTAGATTTTTCAAAATTTCTCCTAGTGTCAGCGATCAATATTGAAACTTTTTTAATTGATGGATAGCACATAAAATATAATCTACAATCACATCGATTAATAAAAGATTTTCTTTATCTTTGAGTCAACAAGAGCGACAAGTCTGACTTTCTGGCAAGACCTCACATATATAAGAGTTTAGATGATAAGTCTATTCCATGGACTGTTGTAGAATCTCTTCAATTCATCGAGACTTGACAATATTCTCTTTAGACATAGTGCCCACTCAACAGCCACAACTTTCCAACTAACATGAAGTCCATGCTACTAATTGGTCAGATAGTCGTTTCATACAAATATGGCTCGAAAACTGTTTTGCTCATAGTACAGGTCGAGATCTTATTCAAATAAACAGTTTCAAATAGTATTACAATAATCATTATTCCACTGATCTAAAATAATCGATCGATTCGTTGATAGGAGATTAGAATTTGAATAATATGTCATTTATATGAAATTCAACAGCGCCGCTTAGAGACACATCAGTCTTGCTGAATGCACGTTCAGAAATAGTTCTAAGGCGATCATTTGAGAAATTTGTGTGCCGAACAATGATCGTTTTGCACAATATCGTATATAGAAACCTTTGTAAATGTATACAAACGCATTCGACGGTCAATGACTAAAAGAATAATTATTAACAATACTCAACCGTGGGAAAATTTAGGATTCAATAGAGTCACAACACTGGAGATCGGAATATCGTGCCGTAATCCAATTTTCGATAATATTCCTACGAAGGTTTTATAAAATCTGATAGAATTTCATCAGAGTCTAGTCAGATTGGTTCTCGTGAATAATTGTTCTCAAATTGTAATTAGATTTCGAGTTTAGTTATTGTATAAGAACGTATAGAAAACAATTGTTGAATTCATTTGAAAAAAATTATTATATACATAATAGAAAATGCTTTTTATGCAAAAGAATAATTTTTATAAAGACTTGTTTTGTTCAACTTATTAAAGTTATATAAAAAAACAAGCGATTTCCAATAAGACCAATAAAAAGTCCTTCTTATCTGATTTGATTGTTGAGAATTCGAAATTCATTGGTGCATGTATTTATACTGATTGGGTTGATATTCTAACGAGTAAATAAATACTAATTGCTAATGCTGTGATAGCAAATAATCCAATAATAATTCCAAACACAGCAAGTACTGTGTTTGTACATACATTATTCTTATCTTCAGACGAGTTTCGTTTAATATTGTCATATGGTCTATTAAAGTAATTAGGAGGATAACCATATCCTGAATAGGAATTGGTAGGAATATTATCATTACTATTATCTTTAAGTGGTTCAGTATAAATACGATTTCTATTTAAAATAAATTCAAATTGAATATATTATTATAAATAAAAAAATAAATACAAACTTCATTCGTCCTGGTGATGAATTATCAAAACTAGTTGGAGATAATGATTGATTAGAGTATGGATTATCTTGATGATTGATTTCATTATTTGCTAATTGATTTTTTGTTGATAATGGTTGAAAGTTCGTTGGACTTCCATATGGCGATCTTGGATAATTGTCAACATATTGAGATCTGTCGTCAAACATTGGAATTTTCTATAAAATAAATTTTTATTTGAGTTTGATTTCTAGACAACATTCTACCTTGGGTGAATCTTGAGATGGAAGAATTCTGGGAACAATTGGCAGATATGGTGATTGGTACGGATCCATATTTTAGTTCAAATTTATGCAACAAAAAATAAAACTCAATAAAGTAAAGTATTTTTTTACTTCTTTTCTTTTTTGCTTGTGATTGTCGTTCTTTTTTTGTGCAAGAAATTCAATTTGTGATTATATTCAGATTGAGAGAAACCTTAACAATGTCCGTCATGAATCTATTCGATTTCTTCTTGTGACAAATAATAATATTTCAACATACTGAAAGAATTGTTTTTTCGTCACAAAAAAGCTCTTCAACGAAATTTTATTAACTTATTAATATCATTGATCATTCATATTTTAACCGAGATATATTTCAATCGAATGACTTGGATAAAATGAAAATTTGAAGAATATAATAATAATATTATATCAAATGTGCAGAGTATGAGTTTGCACTTGTGAGAGGGAGACCTATCTTCAAACGTACACGTATTACAAGTACAATATGATGGTGAATGAAGTATACGATGAAGACCTTTATATAATGCATCAATATAATCAAGAAAATGATTGAATTGATTATAAAATAAACCATATAATCATAGATGAAAACAGACCTCAAATGATTCGATTGTTTTGCGACGCAAATAAAAAAAAGCCAAAAAAATTTATTTGGTTTCATATATGGAGAAAAAAAAAGTTTTGTATCAAATAGTTAAATTCTGACTAAGAAAATGACATTCTGAAATATAATCATTATTTTATTTAAATAATAATATTCAATGTTTTTTTTTTATTGCTAAGAATATTTTTGTCGATATGATTGATATAATAAAATAAGAATATTATCAATATGTTTTAAACAGAGAATTTCATCTACTATCCTTTTCAAAAAACAAATGCGTGGTTGTTTTTTGAATAACTTGGGAACGCAAGCAGCTAGAGACCTGCGGTTTTTACTAATCGAAAGAGGAGACCAGGGAGTCTTTTTCTCCAATAATGCGTGAGAGAAAATCCTTTTACAACTAATTATTTTTGAAAAAAACTAAAAGAAAGCATAAAAATGACCGGCAGTTTGTCCAGAACTTCCGGCTTTCAGTATAGGTATAGGTGGAGCCAGTAACAGGTCAATAAGTAATTCTACACGCTAATGATTGAAATCAATCAAGATCAAGCTAACCAGCATGATAGTGGTGTGGGTGTAGGTATGCCCTGAATCTTCTGTTGTAAGTATAAATTATGAGTATCATAAGCTTTTCCTATATCATCGCACAAAATTGCGTCTTTTCTTTGATTTTGTTATGATTAAAAATGCTCTGTTATGTTAAGATTACAAAAATTATTAATAATATTTAAATTCACATTAATATATGTATATATTGTCATCCATGTTATTTTGTCTATCTAGATTGGAATTTTGAATGTTAATGTGAAAAAGTAGAAGAAAATACAAAGTATACTGCTCATCTCCTGGCAAAAACTGCGAACTCGAAATTTTAAAATCGATGAGATGCGTCAAATAAAATTCATAATTTAACTCGAAAATAATTTATATTTTATTTTAAATGTACAATCTGATTGTTTTATGTAGAAATTTATTTAGGTTTTTCAAATGTAGTTTAGTTTTATTTAAGATTAAATTAATCAACTTTTTTTTATCCATATGAAAATTTTAAAAAACTTTGAATAAGATTTTACTATAAAATATCTACAAATCTTATGTGAGACATTGAAGTTGAGTACTCTATCATACAATCCAATTGTCTAAACGACGAGTAAGTGACATATTGCATGTATGGTCGAATCTAACCTTTCACCTTATATATATGGAAGAAGTTACTAGGAAAAATGCTCATTACTTAGGTCATTGCAAGCTCACTCAGAAACGTTGTCAAGTGCAACTGCGTTGCAATTCGATCTTAATCGAAAATATGAGATAATAGCGATGTTTCCGCGAGCAATTACCTATTTGTTGTGTCACTTACAGTATCCATCATCATCTGGGGCAAAATAAATAAAATAAATGTTACGCTCTAAAACTGTGACCGATATATTGCAGAAAGATGAATGCTTTATCGACTTTGTGCAATAGACGATTTCATTAATATATTCGCGTCTCTTTTTTGGAATAGAATTAGTAATGATTCTTTAAGTTCGTAAGAAAAACTAGACTTATTACCCTAGTTGTATAGGCTGTTACAAAGGTACCGCAATAATTTTATTTTTTCTTTTATCAAAATGACTCCATCATATTACACACATTTAACTAATATGAGTTTGAATAGATTCGACATAGGTCACACAGAGTCTATCAATGTGCTAAGATCAGTATCTATAATGATGCCTGATGGTGTCGCACAGGGAGCTTCTTTTGATTGACAATGAAAGGCAATAAATATTAATTGCTTTTTCTATAACAGATATTTGATGCTATGAGGCATCGTAACAGATATTGATATTAGCACATTCACAGGTTATATGTGTGTCAATTGAGACTTCTTACAGTACATTAATATTATAAAATACTTCTGCAACTAGGTGGCAGATGATCAGTAGAATCGAGAATCTACTTCAACTGAGATTATCCAAACACAAACGTTTGCTAAGTTTTTCAAAGTGTGCCAGTATTTTGTAGTGAAGAATAAATGGCACAACGCTCGTGAAAATTTTTTACGAGAAAAATAATTTTCAATTATTCTTATAGTAATGATAATTAATCATAACAATTCTTCTTCTTCTTATTATTATGATAATACAAAAGTATGGCTTTATTTCATGCTATTATTATTATTGGCTCTAATTAATGTAACTAATCTTCAATTATTAAATCAGAAACCAGATGACATTCAACGATTACTGTTCAGTCAAGATAAGGAAATCAAACATGCAGAAAAAACAAGGTATTTTCATGAATCATATACAATTGTTTGAGTGTTAGGTCTATGTGAAAGACGATTTTTAATGAGTATTGAAATATATAAGAGAAAAGTTTTCAACACAGAGCCATATCAATACGAAAAATCATCATATCAAAAATTCGAACGTCGGATGGGTTATGTTGAAAGCTTTTTTTTCATTATTTTCTCGAGCCCAACGGTTTCCTTAGCTTTGAATTTTTATGAATTTCATCAACGTTTACAGCGATAAGATGAACAATAGAAACCATATATATTTTTTTTTATAGTTTATCTTGTCTAATCGTGATATTAGATGCTGGTATTGGTGAATCTCATCATGCATATTGACTTTCTTCAGCAATTAATAAAAAAATATGCATATTTGAACGTAATAATTATGTTGGAGGACGAACTTATGATCGTGATTATGATGAAAATTCACCGGAAGCTTATGTGAATACTTCAATTTCTTCTCAAGGTGCACAACGATTTTATCTAGATCAAGCTGTTATTAAACAATTAGCAGATGAATTAAATATTTTCTATTATTCATATGATTATCGAAGAGGTCTTATTAAAGCACGTAGAATATTCTATACTTCAATAAATCAAATGTGTTCTAGATCCTACATAAACTTAACATGTACTGATGACTCTAATGGATTGAATTCTGTCGATCAATTATGGAATAAATTAATGGAAGAATATCATAGAAATACATCGAGTTTATATAATTTTGCTGATTTCAATGCATTCTGTCGTTTTGTTCATGGTGATGAAGCAACTGAATTTCTACGAGATTCAAGTAGATTTCGTGCTGATTTTGAGAATGTGAATGCCTATGCATATATGGAATGTATAGATCAAGAATGAAATTTGACTGGTAGTGGTAGTCTCTATTATCCCCATCAAGGAATGTTACAATTAGCTAAAAGAATGATGTATATTGTGACAAAGGTTAATCAAGCTCAGTTATATTAAAATGAAGAAGTTCTTAACATTGACGATTATTCCAACGGTAGTTCTTATGCATTTTCTATTGAAACATCTCGATATCCTATTCTTGTTAAACAATTAATTGCAGCAATGGATCCGCCTTGTTGGGAAAATATTCAAGGGTTCAATTGCACATGATATAAAATCACATGAAAATTTTCAATCAATTAAACCAATTAAAGTAGTTACAATAGATTGTTATTAGCCTTATCGATTGTGGGAGGATAGTACATTATTTGGAACGAATATTGATTTAGCTTGGACCAGACAAAATTGTATTAGTTATATTGAAATAACTTCTCGATGTCCACATGAAAACATCAAAATTTAACAAGAGCGGTTTACGATGATGGTTTATGTGTAGAAACCTGGTCGGCACTTATTGCAAGATCATCACAAGAGAATTTAGTACAAGAAATTTTAAGAGGATTGCGCTCAATATTTATTGATGTTCAAATACCACGACCAACGAAAGTATTTACTCAAATATGGTCGGGCGCTTGGCATTTTCAAAAAGCAAGCAGTATTGTTAGTAATAAACAAATTATTAGTTGGGCATTGTATCCATTACAACGATTTACTAAACATCAGTTTACTTTAGTTGGCGAAGCATTTCATTTAGATCGTGCCGGTTGGACTGAAGCTGCTATTAAATCATCATTAATATCTCTAAGATCACAATTTGATTTGAAATTCAAATGTTACGAAAATGATGTTCCTTCGGGTGGAAGATTTTGTAGTTTGGATTTTGTTTAATATCAATTTTGTATTCGCATTTGTGATTAGTATACTGCACATTAGATATTTGAATGGACTTATTCATAAACAAAGACAAAAACAAAAACAATAGCAATTTTATTTTGCTGTTATACTCTACGTTGAATCTTCTTTTTAGATGTGGTTTAGGTTTTCTTCTCGACTATTTATTAAAGCAAACAATGCTAAAAATTTCATAATATTTATTCAGATTATCTCGGAAGTTATAAACGAAAGAAGGCTTCCAAAATGAAATGAAAAAATGAAAAATAACAAGGAAAACAAAAAATAAGGTGTTCGAAAAAACCAAGATTTCTGTTCGAAATGTAACAAGAAAAAAGATACGACGTTTTCCTGATAATCGACTATCGTTAGAACAAAACCTTCTTCTTTTAGAAATTTTATACTCTCTTTATTTTGTGTTAGTATAATTAAATTAAAGAAGACATATGAGTTCGGTGATTTAGTCTTTATGAGGCCTTCCTCCCGAAAACCAATACAAACGTTCTACTCTGAAGAAATAAAGGTTCCATACAGAACCAAAAATGGTTCCTTGCGTGTTACAAAAGCATAAAAAAAGTTTCCTAAACCTATGCCAATCATATTGAAGGTGTCTTGGGTTCGTAAGAAACCTTCCAAAATACCACCATTTATAATAAAAAAATAACCGAAAATATCGACATTGCATCGATTATTTCGATTATAGTCGACTTCATAATCAGATAGAAATCGCTCATGATCCATGTAAAACAAACACTACTGGTCTCAAGTTCTACCGCTTACAATCACAAGAAATTGATTAAGAATGGAGATGGGTGGGTCTACGTGTGCGTGTACGTATGGATGTAGATGTAAGTGGGCGAAGTAAAAACAAGCACCCACACTTATCCCCACAACAGGAAGAAGCATATTTCTTTTTCTGTGATAGATATACATATATTTCTACGAAAATAAGATAGCATATATTGTTTTGACAATTGTAAAAGAAAAATGAGTTTAAAAATTTTTGTCGCTTGACGACGGGGTGTCGTCGAATAGCAACATGCCAATTTGTTATTGTTCGGAATTACTGAATAATACTAATGTGTTATTCGATAAATAATAGAGAATGCAAGTGCAACGGTATTTATCATTTATCTCATCACACTCACAGTCACAAATGATGATTTCTTTTTTCAACAGCAATCGATCATATCAACTCATTATAAGCTTGCTAAAATTCAATGTAAAATCTTTTTACTGTGCTGTTCGAAACAAATTAAAATAATCTTGTATAGCCCTTCATACAAACACGCACTGAACAAGATTGGTATTATGGGAAGAAAATCCGAAAGAAACCGGATTGTTCGAAACTCATTTGAATGGGACCAATTCTAATGTCAGCAAAGTCATGGACCAATTAGTTCTTGAAAATCATTTTAAACTTCGTTGCAGTAGAATATGTATTTGACAGCTAATACAACAAAAAACCAAGATGTACGTCCTTGATTAAAAACACTTTCTTTTCTTCAAAACGATTGTTACATATACTCATTTATCACATGTCATAATAATCGATTAAAAATTGCATGATTACAATTATTACGAAACAAGAAACTTTCGTGCATATATAACATTCACATAGCAACTGAAGCCATTTATTTTGAAGTTACGTTGATATCAAACGAGACAAATAGCACTATATAACTACAATTTCGTTTTTCAAGCGTACATTCATACTAAATTATCGTAGCAAGAAAGCAGAAATGAAATGTTTTGTTTTTTTTTATAAACGTCCAAGCGATACATCTCGACCGAAGCCTTGTTCGATAAAGGATTTGAATTCATCAAAATTCAGCTTATAATCGCCATCTCTATCAGCCTTTTGTATTTGATGAAGAAGTAAATATGGATTTGCTTTTGGCAAGATGATACATATAAATTCATGTAATTTAGTGATGTCGATTTTGTTAGAATGATCAGTATCAAGAAGACGAAAGGTTTCCGGAATATCTTCAATTGCATATTTTCCCATCATAAATGTACGTAATATTCTTATGAACTTATCATAGGACATTGATGGTTTATAGAATCTCGATGCCGTCCGTTCATATTCTTGTCGAGACCACTTAATATGATATTTTTTACTTTCTCCATGATCATTTTCATCATATTCATATTCAACCTCGTCAATTTGACCATATTTTTGATATATAGTTTCCGTTGCGATTATTTTGCATTCATCAGACATCTTAAATATAGTGTATATTTTGACTACAATTCTATAAACTAAAACATTTAGTTGAAATCTACTTTTAATCTCTAGACTATTCGAAAGTAACTAAAATACTTATCTAATGCAAACCTTCTGTACAAAATTTGAATGCGAATGGTTAACAAAAAAAAAACAAGTTTGAAAAGCATATCTACCGAAGCTGAATTAAATCTATCGTTCAATTCGAAAGTAAAAGAAACGTTTCCATTGACATGAATAAACAAAAGAGTTTGATAATAATTTAGTTTTATGAAAGATTACATCAACTGAAAAGTTCTAGTGCTACTCTTCTACACGCGTTTAAGCTCCAACATACAGTTAATAATCACTTGTTTCAATAGGCTTGCATCATAGTTATTGTTTAATTTTGAAGAAGGAAGAATCGAGGAGAACCCGAAAATTAAAAAAAAATATGCTTAAACTTAGTCGTTAAAATATAGTGAATAATTTAGATTCGAGGCAGCAGAGTAGACTGTTTGCAATGAACTTGAGAATCTTTATTGAAATGACATTAATGTGTACACACTTTTGTCTAACACTTCGAGTTGAGTCATTTTCTATTAGTTTTTTTGACAAAGCCTGACTTCTATTTGACGTCACTTTCTCATTCATAATGTCACGCACGCTTTTGAGAGTCACCGCAAACAAGGAAAGAAAGGGAGAAAATGTATTGATTGCTTAACCACAAATTGTAAGTCAGCATTCGTACCTATGTTTTTTTTTCATGTTCAAGCGAATTACAGTTTTATTTCAGGATGAGAATGGATGGATCATCTCTCCATTCACACCCATACCCTTTCATATAATTGGATTGAACTTCGAAAATATATATTTTATACGCAAGAAATCGAACTATTGTAAATCACTGAACGATAATCAATATAACATTTACTTACTGCCTTGAATAAAATCAGAGTAAAACTAAAATAAAAGAAGTTTAGTAATTCATGTCTTTAAATAGCTTTGATGGTAACGGTTTTTAAATATTCTTGTTCTAATTCGCCAAAAGACAGTGGGGGAAAAAGAAACTGATATAGCTGGCGATTGCAATAGCTAAATTCTGTCTCTGTGTCATAAATAAAACAAGTCATTGGTTCTTTTTATTATTTTTTTGAATATTCTAATATATTTTTTTATTTGCACTTCTTTTTCTGACGTTCATTGCGATCTATGTATTTACGTGTTTTTCAGGAAAAAAGAATGAGTCGGAATAAGTCAATAGAAATCGAGAATTTCTTTCCGAAGAACGAGAAAAAAATATATATCAGAAAGTTATAATTAGCCTGTACGTCAGTCTAGATGTTTTCTTTCTCGTATTTTGTTACTATAATAGAAAAAAGAATGGATGCGGTATTATTTGCCGTCAACAACAACTGCTTATGAAAATATTCAAAACTTTTTTACTCTTTATAGAATCAATCTTTTTATTTATAACTACGTCATATTTTTGGGTGTGGATGTGGGTGTGTGTGTATGGATGTGGGTGTGGGTTAAATATTACACAAGACCCACACCCACACCCACACCCACACCGACACCCACACCCACACACCCACTCACACCCACACACCCACACCCACACGTCCACACTCACCCACACCTACACCCACACCCATCCCACACCCACACACCCAAGATGAGAGGTGGATGTGGGCATAGTTGCAGTCGTCTCTTCTATCTGCACCCACACCGACACCCAGAATTTTTCAAAAAGTTTATGTGTAAACATGTTGCTGGTTTGGCTATTCGATTAAACTATTGCAAGTCACCACCTGCTGCTAAACAAGTTGAAATTGGGGGAAAAAAACGTCGTAGTAGACCAATGAAGTGCAAAAAAGCGCTATTAATTCAATAAATTTCTGTTAATTGTAGAAATAGTTTCTTACCTGAAATAAACTAATAAAAAACTGAACAAAAGTAGAT